ACCAGACCAAATCGATTATTAAACCTAAATTAGAAAATTGTGGTTTCTTAAACCCAAATAAAAGGTTTTCAGAACCCGGCTGTCATCGAAACTATCAGGTTATTGTATTAAATCAATTGTAGTTTCTTAAAATTTTAATTTATAAACATTTTAATATACATATATAGGATTTTTTGTAATAAATTTAAATAAAATGTGTTACTTAAATACCTAAACAAATTTATAAATTCAAATGTTTACACTAATGAATAAACAACTTATAAACCTCTTTATTTAAATATGTAATTTTATTTACACTAATTTTAAATGTTGCAAAATTTATTTATAAAATTGTATCGATCCTACCAGTCCAATCGATTGGTGTTGATGGATTCAATGGCAAATATTGTATTCAAGCAAATTATAAAGTGGTTCTCCGTCCATCCGGTCGGACTGTGTCCAACTCCGTTGGGTAGATCATGATCAGTGTTATTTATATATTTTAATTTATAATATAATCGTAATATTGTTTTCCCGTGCATTGCACAGGCCACGCACTAGTATAATATAGATGTCAAATCAAACTTAATCAAGACATGATTAATTTGATAAATTATACAATAAAAATATATTAATAAATAAAGAACTTATTGACTTTTAAATATATTTATAATTTAAGTTAGTAATTTCTCTTATAATTTCAAAAAAAAAAAAAAAAAAAAGAGGAAAAAAATATTGAGAAAAAAACTATACCTTATAAACCATGTCTACGATATAAAATGATACTAAAACATAATTAATACTCTTAAAAAGGAGAATAATTTATAAATGTGCAATATTAGTTAATTTTAGACTGAAAATAAATTAAAATTCATCTAAACGAAACAACAAACTTTATAAACTGTATAATGTACAAAATTCTTATATGATTAATATTATTTAAATTATTCCAGTTCACTTATTTGGCTTGCTTACGAAATAGTGCGCTATACTGATGTATATTAATTTTAGGAATGGTGCTAAAAGTTGAGATGACGGGATTATGCAATTTTTAAGTTTATTTTGTAATTATCAACTAGTGCGTACCCCGTGCGATGCACGAGAAAATATTATTAAATAATAATTATAAATTAAAGAGGAGAGTACGTAAACAGTATTAACTAATAATTACAAAGTAAAAATGAGGTGTAACATATATATGTAAGAAAAATATATATGTAAGAAGTATCTAAAATATTCTATGTTAAACATAATTCTCATTCAGCATAAAATAGTATAAATAACGAAAAAAGTCAAGCTTTGTGCATTAAATACACTAACACAACCCACATGCACGAAATCGGTGTTTGGATGATCTAAATCGGTCAAATGATTAAAGTCGTGAACAATCCATTTCACCTATAAAAGGTAAAATTTTCTGACTTTTTAGGGTTTTCATATAATCCACCTGCACATTTCTTTGTTTTACCTCAACTCTATTTCGTTCGATTATGAAGAATGATTCACAAATTAACCTTGTGAATAAAATATTTTTGTTTT